GTTCCAGCAGGGAGAGCGCTGCCCCGGGGCTTGCTGAGAATGTCTCTTGACCACAGGGACCAGTCCAAGTATGACAGGCACTGAGACCAGAGCCAGGGAGCCTGGTCAAGCAGGGAGAGAAACTAAAAGCCCAGATGTAAAACAAGGGCCCTGCTTGAGACACTCGGGAAGAGTGAAGAGGTTGGGAGTCCCTTTCTCTCACATCTGCAAGGGCATACATACATCTCTCTGGGTTTGGTTTGAGGCGGAGAGGGCATGGGTTCACTAGGGAGCAGCAGTGTTTTCCCCAGATGGTCAGTGCACCCTTAATTTTTATAGCTTGCTGGAGTCTCTGGAAATTGCTCACAAATGTGTGAAACTGTCGAGAAACTGATCACATGGGATGCAAGGGAGATCTAAGTCTTCTCACCATCTCAGTAAAGAGGAAATTTAAGTTTTGGGTTAAGGTTGGGTTGTGGGAGGCTGAGGCTATGGTGACAAGTTCCCAAACTAGACATCACCTTGGCTTCACTTTTATTCAACACAGGGCACTAACTGTATGCTGGGGACCCCACATTTATCCACACTATTCAGCTCTGATGTTTTTCAATCCTGTTTTCTCATGTCAGATTATTTTAAAAGCTACCTGTGCACTCCCTTGACATAGACATTCACTGAAAAACTCATTCTCTTGATGTTGGGCAAAGAGACAAGACACTTAAAAAATTCACTTTAATCTTATATTTGCAATTTAAGTTACTTTTTTTCTGAACAGTTAAAAAAACCAAAACACACTATATTACCATGATCCTAGGTTATGAACATATTGGTACACTGACTATACATCACCAGAACATAATCACAAAAGTCAAAGCAGTTCTAGAGAACAAAGGGCTGGACCATCAAAAGCTCTCTCAGGGCAGCTTCCATTTGTTTCCAAGCCTGCCCCAGACAGAACTGGATCCAATGAAGATCGCTCAGACAAACAGTCTGGGTTGGCCAGGAGTGATTACTGATTTGGGGAAGTGTTTGTTTCCTTGGTACCCAGGGGTCTAACCCTCCTAGTCGGTGTTTCCCTTCAGTGTCCAAGAAGGGAAAGGGACAGAGGGGAAGTAATGCTTTATCATGCATCGATCCTTACACACACACACACACACACACACACACACACGAAGGCCAATTAGAAGCTGAGCAAGTGTGTTGCAAGTGTATTGGGTTGCACGGATTTTAGATAACATCTGCCTCCAGAAAATTTTACATCATAAGTATTCAATTTCCAACAGAAGAGGTTTGTGGATATCAATGCATTAATTAAGCTTTCACCTGAAATCAGGCAGCCCAAACCATGCTCTTATGCTCTACTTTCTCTCCTCAGTTACATGGTTTCTGAGGTCACAAATGGACTACAGATTAAAAAAAAAAAATAGTAAAATGAAGCTTATTCCCCTAGCAAAAGGCTGTCTTTCTGGCACTGATTAGATTGAGAGGGGTTCTAGCCTTTTGGTGATCAGCTATGTGAATGAAACCCAGGTTTATTAACTCAGCCTGAAGACTCTGGGTGCACTTATTAGAAATGAGTGTTATTCTAGGAGGGAAGGGTGGAAGGCAGGGAGAAGCAAGGGCACATTCCCAGGTTCTTCAGCTCAAACTGAATGGGGTCTGTCAAGCTCATCTAAATGAGGACAGAGATGAGTGCGGGTTTAAGTAAAAAGGTTTCTCATGCCCTTTTCCGCCTAAGTACCTTGGATTCTTCTGGAAGCCGTCTGGAAGACTAGCCCCGCAGGCCTGCTCTACTCTGGGCTGGAATGCTTCCATGTCAGGCAGGGAGGTATTACCATGTAAGGAAAATGGAAGACACCAACGCCAACAATACCAGGGTATCTAATCTAATTTTAGGAAAGACAAAATCGCTGAAATGATTTCCAATACCACACTCCTCTGAAACTGACCTGATTATGTTTCCATACACAACCAAGGGCTATGCAGGTAGGCTAGCCACAGATGTTCACAGCAAAGGGTAAGAGGAGATGGCAAAGGAGACTGCATATTTTCTTCTCTTCAGCTTTTGATTGTACAGAAGAAAAATAAAAGGATTTTTCTTACTTAAGCAGAAACCAGAATGATTTAGGGGTCCCAGGATCTTTTCCAGTTCAGAAACAAATTACGAGGCCCAGACTTTATTACTTGTCAACAGAATTCCAATGTCCCTGTCTTTGAAATTCCTGAAGTCACCAGAAAGAATTCTGTGAAGGGAAAAGTGTAAAAGTTCTCCCCTTCACAATTCATGTCCACTTTCAAATTGCACATAAGAAGTTCTCAGCAGTGGAAATACACACACATGTGCAGAGGGCATGCTGGTTTGTCCAAGCAGCCCTAGTATGAACAGAAGCTCACTTGTGCCCACAAAAGCTCCCAGGTGTGGGTGCACGCACACACTCCGCACCCGCCTTTGAAAGGGCTTCTTCCCATTTTTAGGAAACAATTCTTTCACGGTCTCTTTGCAAACTGCATGAGAAGAGGTTAGACTACACTGGAGACATTTCATTTCAGAGTCAAGAGATGCCTTCAGCTTCTTTTCTACACTCCTTTAAAAGTGTTGAGATCTTCTTTGTCTCTCTTTTCTTTTTAAAAAGGTCAAGCTTTACATTTATTCTAGCCCAGTTGGGGATAAGTGATAATCAATTCCCACTGAAATCATGCAGAGATGGTAAGTGGGGTTTACCTTCTCTGGAAATGAACTTCTACTTACCTGATTATTTCTTCTACAATGAACTGGTAAATGACCCCCAGAGCCGAGAAATGTGACTGACTCAAGTTTTTCAGACCACTTAACTTCATTCCCATTTCCATCAGCAGCGGAGGACAACTTGGAGAATATCCTCGACAGAGCTAATGGCTCCCGACTGCAGGGTCCACCCTTGATCTCATTTATGATGTTCTGGACAAGCTTGAGCAGTCTGAGAAACAATGCACCTTCAACTGAACCTAGATGGGAGAGCAAAACCCGGGCACCAGTGAATATTCAACAGCTCCCACTTTCGAATAGCAGCATATAATAGGAGGGCTGGTACAGTTATGGCTATTGGGCAATATTTTGAAACAGCTCAAAACCCATGCCTCTTTAATGTGTTTTTCAGGGCTGACAGCCCTCTGCCTCATCTGTAGCAAAATCCTTAACCAATCAAAAAGTCAACACTAGTCAACACAATAGACAAGGAACCCTGATAGTGGCTAAATAGAAAACATTTCTCTGTAGCATTTGGTAGTAGGGAAGGGAATTACACTCAAGAAATACTTCCCTGGCAATAACATATCATTACATTGGGAATTATTTTCTGAATATAACCTGGAATTAAAATCTTAAAAACATTCAGAGCAGGAAAGGAAAAATGCTTAAGCTTAACCTGCCTCTCAATATGTAATACTAACATTCAGTCTGGATACATTTTGGGAAGAGGATACCTTCTTGCAAATCAGAGGCAAGAGTGAAGCTGGTTTTCTTTGTCCCTTCCCCTGTGCTGAACTAAAAGGTGGCCTGGCTTGTAGGTCACCTGCAATTGGTTTCCATTCTGATGTTTTTACAGTAGCTGGTTAAAAAGGGGCTTTCTTTTACGCAAATGCTTTGATTAGGAACACAAATAATGGCCTATTTCAAGGGACAGTTCGAAAGGGAAATATAAGACTCACTGTGGACTCAGACTTTTGACAGGTGTGCCCACAAGACACAGCTGGGGAAACAGGCAGGGTGCAGGTCCGTAGTGCTCCTGTTGCTCTCAGGTCAGGACAACACATGTGCCCTGAATCTGAAGCCCACACAGCTGCTTTTTTAGTGGCTGGGTAGCCTGGCCCTTGGTGGGGGGTTCATTTGTTTATGTTGCTTACCAACTGCCAGAGAAATTTTATTGGCTGGGGAGACTGTACAGCAAAATAAGGCCAGGAAGAGGAAGAAAAGAAAGAGAAAGCTGTTTGTGTCCCTTAATAAACCCTGTGTGCCAAACTTCACCCTGATCCTCTCTCTGGCAGCTTTACCTTTGTAAGTATTGGGTTTTGGAAGAGCAGAAGGAGGATTCTGCAGTGCAAGGTTGAGATTATTAGACTGACTTTTGAGAGATGATATTTAATGACCTAAAAAAAAAAAATCAACTTTTAATCCTAACTACCTCGTAAGTTACTCTGACCATGGTCGTGACAAAGATATAGGTACCTGTACAGGCCCTGATGAGGAAATCAGAAATGTGAACCATTATTAGAATGCACTGAGCGACTGGCTCTGGCCATTTCAAACCTTTCTGTAGGCTGAGCCTACCAGTGATTTAAGATGAAGTACAATGCTTTTTATTACACATCTAATTGTTAATGAGAGGAAATGCAATCAGCAACTCCTTTCCACACTCTACATGGAATCAAGGAGACTGCTGAGTCCAGAAAAGATGTGGCCATTGATGGAGCCCAGGAAATTTCTGCCTCCCTCCCCCCCTTTTTGGAGGGGGGTGCATTGGCAGAAGAGAGAAGAGTTGCAAATATGATGAGAGTAACCAGGTCTGAAAATCCGTTGTTGCCACACAAGGTCACTTGCAGCAAAGGCCTGGGTTTGAAATTTTGATGGAACAGCATTAAATTCTTCCAAATGTTGCATTTTCTAGCTGGTCTGCCTCATGCTATCTGAGGACACTCTCTTCATATTCTTTCTTCTCAGGTGAAGTAGGGAAACAGGTTGAAGAGAAGTGGGGGGAGAGGGGCAGAAATAGAGAACGATGGAAGGAAAGAGGCCCAGATCTTCCAGTGTGTGCATTCTCGTTTTCTTTCTTTCTTGCCCCAGAGGCTATACAGACAGCGGTCTCCTCCTAGGCATAGTGGGGCTGGGCCCATCTTTCCAGGCGCTGGGCATTCCTGTGGTTCACAGGGAGACACTGGATGCTGTCTGGCTTGAAGTTGTATCCCCCTGTTCCCTAGAAGTGGGTCGGTCCCAGTAGGCTATACAGGGAAACTAGTTCTTCTGCTTAATGGCAAAGCAAGAGAGATTCTGGCAAAACACTAAATATATTTATAAGTCATCTTTGTCTGGAACCAAATGAGGAAAACACAGGTGCGGAGGGGAAAGGAGGAGGGAGGTGAGGTTTAAAGTTCCAATCATTCACGAAAGATAAAAGACATCTTCTGATAGCAGCACTGAAGCAGTCAGCTGTGCTGAGCAGCCCGTCCTGGGTCGACTGCAGACCAACTGTGTCCCAACAGGAGTCTCAAAGCCCAGATCCTCGGCTAGTCCAGGAAAGTGGGTAGTAGTTTGATTATTACTGCTGTTGCTCATCCTGGTATTGGCAGATATGTTAAATACCACAACCTTAATGAGTCCTGTGTGAAAACAGAGCAGATAGTCATTAGTTCCTTTCCCTGTAATTCTTACTTGCACTATAAGGAGCATATTATCTTAGCTATCAATTGAGAGAAAGACTTGGTGGTCCTTCCTAATGCCTGCTCTCTGCACATGCCATGCAGAGCTTCTGCTAAAGGTCACATGCCCTATTTGGGGTCTTGGTGGGGCACAATGACATGATCAGGCAAACTGATTCTGGTGTCTTGAGATTGAGAGTGACTACAGTAGATGTAGTGACAAGCTTTCACATGCTCCCTACAGTGACAGAGTAGGTGAAGACAGCTCTGGGTTTCTGGCCTTGAGTGGCCAGGAAGATGGCTATGCCGCTACCAGAAGTGGGGGAGATGGGTGATGCTGCTTGGCTGGACAGCACCAGAGCTGTGGATGGGAAAAGTGATGGCTCAATGTGTTCCCCAGAAGTGCTCTTGGTACTCTCAGGTACAGATGTGTAGCGGGTGGCATGTTGAGCTGAGAGCTTAAGTCCTGAGATAAAGAAGCCCAAGGATGTAAGGAAGCCCAAGAAGAGGGCTTAGATAAGGAAAAAAGCCCAGACTCTTAGGGGATGTCTGTGTTTCAGGGATGAGTGAAGGAATGAGATATAAAGAATCAGAGTACTAGGAAGAATATTAAAAATGGCAAAATGTCATGGAAAGCAATGGAAGAGAAAGTTTTGGCAAAAGAAGGGATAGGTTGGGGTGGTTACACTGTTAATAATAATGACTACTTTTTACTTAAGTGTTATGTGCTAATACTGCTAAGGACTAACGTTCTTACATATAAACATCTTAATGCATTCCTCACAACAGCTCTGTGAGGTATGCACCTTCACTTTACTAATAATTTGCTAATGAGGTTTGCAATCCTAATTTTACTAATAAACTAGGGTTCCAGGGAAGTTACTTGCCCCAAGGCACACAGCTAGGATTCTCACCCAGGCCTGTGTATGACTTGCCTGAGGAGGCTGGCATATGAGAAAAGAGTGTGTCTTCTTTGAGAGCAGTGAGCATTGATGTGAACCAGGGGGTATTAATTTTGCAAGCTACTCACCACACTCTACCACACTCATAAGAAACCACTGCAAAAAGTGGACTAGATATGGCCTTCTGCCACAAGAACTGAGGTGGGAAAGGAGAAATAAAGATAGCAAGATAGCAATGCTCCCTGGTAGCAAGTGCAGTTGTTTTTTTTTAATTTTTTATTTTTTTTTATTTATACAAGCACTGGGTACAGTCAGAAGCGCAGGAGGGTGAGAGAATTCACCAGAGCTAGAGCGGGGAGCAGAGCAGGCAAAAGGACCGAAGCACACTGATGAGGGGAGCAGCGGGCGGCAGGAGAGGTCTGCGCGCCATGCGGGACCCTCCTCTGGTGGCCGGGGAGCAGCTGGGGATCGAACTGGCGCTGCAGAGGCTGCGGGCAGTTTCGCAACCTGGCGCTCAACCACTGCGCCACTGGGGAGGCCCAGCAAGTGCAGTTTTCCCAGAGCAGTCTAATGTATGTATTTGAACTGGTTGTGACACCAGGCATGACCTGAATATACCACTATATATGCATATATATAGTGCATATATGTATATATGATGAATTTTAGGACATTTTCCTGCCTTAGAGGGAGGTAGGAGACCAGAGTGGGAGAATAACACATGGAATTCTTACCAGCTACTGCTAAGGTCAGGTTTCTTTTCTTTTCTTTTTTTTTTTTTTTTGAGGGGGTGGGGTATAGGAATAAGCATTAAAAATACCCACCTTTCAAAATAAAATGACAACAAAAAGACAGCACTATGAAAAGTCAGCATGATATTTCACCAGGAGATTTTTCTACTCACATATGAGATATCACCATGGTTAATTTAAAAGTCTCTATTATAGGTAATGGTTTGACTTGGGGACTACAAATTCACAGGTTTTGGGGTCATTACCCTTAGTTTTCAAACTGATATAACCTCATTTCCTCAATACTACTACTAAATAAATGGGTCAGGAATTACTAATTCTACTACCCAGGATCATCTAGATCATTTAGGACTGAGGCTGGCTATCTTGATGAAAAGTAGCATCCAAAGTGTAGTCCAGCCCTGTCTCAAGCTGTTAGTTGCCCTGGTTTTACAGGACTTGGAGAGGTAAAGGGCATGAGATATCTGAATGAGCCAACAACCCCTTACAGCCAATATTCTGTTTCCTGAGCACAGTGCTAGGTACACAACTTTTTTCCCCCCATACCTGGGCAAATATGAGGTCAGTATATGATCATTTATCTGGAGATATAGGTGTATGTTCGAGAAGGGGAGCGGGGGGGTTCAGTCTGGGTAGCTGGGTCATTTAGGAAGTCCCAGATGAGGATTGTGTCATCATGTGAACTACTGACAATCTGGAATTCATCAAACTGAAGTCGGAAAACTCTTCCAGAATGCTCCTGAAAAAGCAGAAATGAGAATTTTTGAACTATTCAAAGCCAAAAGGATATATATTGAGCAACATGTCAAAAGGAGTCTATGGGAAGGCTATGGTATGCTGATAATTTTCTCTGTCTACCATTTAGCTGTTTTAAGAACACAGAGGAAAAATTTAATTTTGATTAAGGCAGGTTGGAAAATTAAAATATTGTGCAGTTTATTTCATAAACAGTCAAAACAATATCCACTAGCGCTAAGACAAGTTAGCACACTGGCTTCACATCATTAACTCTCCTTGGTTTAGGCTCAATGACAACATTCCTCAGTACCTGCCTGGGTTTATCCTCTTTTTGAATCTCTAAGATTTTTCTACAGAGGCCAATGACTGATGAGGAATGAGTAGTGTGCTAATAAATATCGACTAACCCTCCCCAATTTGTAAAACCATTTGCATATTTTCATGGTGTAAAAACTCCTACACTGGTCAATTTCAAGCTATCCATGTGAGGTCAACTAGCTTGCAAAATTTATAGAAATTTCACTTGGCTCTCACAACAATACAACAAGCCTGTTCTAGCATACCATTGGCAGTACTGTCCACCTGATCAAGACAGAGTATTTGTAGTGTCCTGGAAAGTACTGTCCTGCCCCTTATTTGCCAGTATTACTTTCACCCCAATGCTCTCCTCAGCAATCTTTTTTTTTTTTTGCTCATGAATTTCATTTCAGTACATTCACACAGTATGTATTCTTTTGTACTAGCTTCTTTTACTCAACAATATGTATAAGAGTCCTCTCTGTCACTACATCTAACAGTAGTTCATTTTCTTTACCTACTGTTGGTTGACATCCCATTATATGAACACAATACAATTTATGTTTTCTTTTGTTTGGTGGACATATAAGGGTAACTAAAGTTTTGGCTACTATACCAAAGTTGCTGTGGATATTTATGTACAAGTCTTTTGATGGATATATGTACACATTTCACTTAGGAGCAGAACTTCTGGGCCATGGAGTAGGCACATGGTTAGTTTTAGTAAATACAATGGAAACGTTTTTTATTAAATTGTGCCCCCTTGTGATCTAACAGCATTCCAGTTGCTCCAGATCTTCACCCACAAATTGATACTGTCGATCTTTTTAATTTTACCCATTTTGGTAGCTTTGTAGTAGTATTTTACTGAAGCTTAATTTTCAGTTTTCTTTATGAAGCCAAGGAAATTCCCCTCTATTTCTAGTTTGCTGAATTGTATTTTTTTTTCCTGCCATGAATGGATGTTCGGTTTTGCCAAATGCTTTTGCTGCATCTATTGATATAGTCATATGATTTTTTTCCCCCTTCTTTAGCTTTTTGATGTGATATAGTACATTGATTCTGAATATTACACAAGGTTTGCATACCTTGTGGAATAAATCCCACGTGGTCATTGTGTATAATTCTTTTCATACATTGTTGGCTTTGATTTGCTAATATTTTGTTGAGAATTTTTAAAATTTAAGAATTACTTAATTTGGCATATTACTTACCTTTTAAATAATTTCAGAAAATTTCCTTACCGTATAATCACTAAACATGCAGACAGTCACAACACTTAAATCTGAAGGAAATGGTTAAAAAAAATCCTACCTAATAAATTCATATCAGCCATGCAATTGTGTGTTTGCCTGTTACATTAGTATTTAAATATTTTAATTTTGAATTATGGTAAAAAACAAGTAACATAAAATTTACCACCTTACCCATTTTTAAGTATTCTGTTCAGTAATATTAAGTACATTCAATTGATGTACAATCAATATCCAGAACTTTTAATCATGTAAAACAAACTCTGTGCTCATTAAACAACAATTTTCCATCTCATACTTCCTCCCCCTGCCTCCACTCCCTGGTACCCACCATTCTACTTTCTTCTTATATATATTTGACTGCTTCAAATTTCTCATATAAATGGAATCAAACAGTATTAGTCCTTTTGTGACTGGCTTATTTCACTTATAATGTCCTTAAATTTCATCCATGTTGTAGCATATGACAGTTTTTCTTTTCTTTTTAAGGCTAAATATTATTCATATACGTAACTGTATGTGAGTGTATATATATCTATATAGAGTGTTTATATATATACATATATTTGTTGTTTACTTGTTCTTCTATTCACCTATGGATACTTGGGTTGCTTCCACGCACTCTTGTCTATTATGAATTATGCTGCTTCATTATGAACATGGGTATGCAATTATCTTTGAGATCGTTCTTTTAATTCTTTTGGATATATATCCAAATTGGGAGTACTGAATAATATAGTAATCTACCTTTATTATTTTGAGGTACTGCCACCTTGTTTTTTATAGAGGCTGTATCATTTTACATTCTGTACAAGAGCAAATGAGCTCAGAGATGAGCATCTGTATTTATTAGATTTTTTTTCCTTGTAATATATTTGTCTGGTTTTGATATTAGAGTAATTCTGCCCTCATAGAATGAATCTGGAAGTATTCACTGCTCCCATCTTCTGGAGGAGATGGTAGCAAATTGGTATTTATTTCTTCCTTAAACATTTGGTAGAATTCACAAGTAAACCCATCTGGGCCCGGTGCTTTCTGTTTTGGAAGGTTATTAATTATTGATTTAATTTCTTTAACAGGAACAAATCTATTTAGATTGTCTATTTCTTCCTATGTGAGTTGTAGAAGATAGTATTTTTTAAGGAATTGCTCTATTTAACCTAAGTTATAAAATTTTGGGGTAAGGAGCTAGTCATAGTATTCCTTTATTAGTATCCTTTTAATAGCCATGGGATCTATAGTGATGCAAAGCTCGGTTTAACATAAAAAAAAAAAAATCAAAGTAATATTCCAACAAACAAGGGTAAAATCCACGCGATCATCTCAATGAATACAAATAAAAAGCATTTACACAAAATGGCAACATCCATTCCTAATAAAAACTCTCAGCAATCTAGAAAGAAAAAAGAACTTCCTAACCCCTTGATAAATGAATATCTATGAAAAACCTATAGCTAACGTAAGTCTATAGATAAGCATATATAAAATGATGGAAGACCAAATGATTTTTCCCCCAGGAAAAGGACATCCATTTTAGTAGTTCTTTTGAATATTGAACAAGAAAGAAAAACAAAAGATACACAGATTGGAAAAGAAGTAAAAGTGTATTTCTATATACTTGCAATGAATAATCTAGAAACTGAAATTTTAAAATACCATTAAAAATATGAAATACTTATGAATAAATATGACAAAAGGTGTGTGAGAACTCTACATTGAAATATAAAACATTGCTGAGGAGTTTAAAAAGACTTAAATAAATGCATAGATATACTGTGTTCACGAGCCAGAAGACTCAGTATTGCTAAGAAGTCAATTCTCTCCAAATTGATGTAGGTTAAAAACAATCCCAACAAAAATCCCAGATTTGTTTTGTTGTTGAAATTCACAAACAGATTCTAAAATTCACATGAAAATTCAAAGGGCCACCGCCCAAAAGCTATTAAAAAGCTGCAGTAGCCATGTTACTATGATACTGGTATCATGATAGACAAAAAGAACAAATCTGAACAGATCTGTAAGTAGACCCAACATTAATTTCTGATAAAAATACAAAGGCAATTTAGAGGAAAAATGATAGTCTTTTGAATAAATGGAGCTGGAATAATCAAATATTGAAATAAATTTTGATCCATACTTTGTACTACCCTCCCAAATTAACTCAAAGAGAGTCATACACCAAAATGTAAAATTTAAAACATAAAACTTCTAGAAGAAAACAAAGGGGAAAATCAATTACAACCACTACACAACCAGTCAAATGGCATAGTGTTTTTTAAAACTGAAAATATCAAGTGTTATCAAGGGTGTGGAAAAATGGGACTCTCATACATTGTTATGGAGATGTAAAATGATTTTGCATTTGCAAACTCCCCAAATTGGGAAATAGCTTGGTAGTTTCTTTCCTTTTTTAAGATTTATTTATTTATGCATATAAGAACTGGGGTGTAGGCCAGAGGTGTGGGGGGAAGGGGTGAGAGGATTCACCAAAGACAGAGTGGGGAGCAGAACAGGCAAACTGACTGAAATACACTGCTAAGGGGAGCAGCGGGCGAGACAGGAGAGGTCTACTGCGCCATGTGGGTTAGCTCCCTGGCCACTTGGGATTGTACTCATCCTGGCTGTGCTGCAGTGTCTGCAGATAGCGTCATAGTGCTATGACTTAACCCCCTGCACCACTGGGGAGGCCCCCTAGCTTGGTGGTTTCTTTAAAATGCAATTGTATACTTATCAGAAGACCTAGAAATCACATTCCTAGATATTTACCCAAGAGAAAACACTATGTATATACAAAAAATTACTGCAATTCTAGATACTGCAATGAATAATCTAGAAACTGATAGTGTATGGGGATATTTTCAGTATCATCAAAAACTGAAGACATTACAAATGTCCTTAAGTCACTGAATGAATGAATAAAGTGACTCATCCCCATAATGGAATACTATTCAGCAATAAAAGGACACAGTAACAATACGAATGAATCTCAAGTCAGGTGGAAAAAATCAAACATAAAAGGCTACATACTCTATGATTTAATTTATATGACATTAAGACAAAAAAACTGTAGGAATAGAAATCAGATGAATAGTTGTTAGGGGTTGGAAGGAAAGGGGACTGATACAAAAGAGCATCACTTTTGAGGTAACATAAATGCTCTGTATGGTGATTGTGGTATGTACACCACTGCAAAATTCATACAACAACACTAAAAAGGAGGGCAAATTTGGTAGCGTGTAAATTATTAAAAAAACAGACTTAGATTAACTGTAAATGTAAAAAGCATGAAACATGCAGGTATAGCACATCTGTTGCTGAAAAACGAACTTTAATTCCAACAAGGAAGACAAAGAAATGTACCTCTTTCTTCTCTAGAGCAAGAAATTTTGAGACTCTAGATTCAGAACTCTGGGCTTCAAAAGCTTCCTCACATCTTTTTCCTGAGTTGTGCAAAAATTCTGTGCTCCCTGGTGCCCCACCTAATCTTTTCTTTAATGAAAGCAGCTTTTAACCTTAGGCCATTTTCTAATCCGGGCCTTTGGTGAACACCCTGATAAAGAATGCTGTGCTTTCCACAGTGACATTCCTCCTTATAAGTTACATCCCTCCCTAAATGTCGAGATGTCCAGGCAAGGGGTTATATGAGGAACAAAAAAGGCAGGATTCAAGTTGCTGGAGGCAGCATGCCTTCAATAGGATGCAGAACGTGGCTGACCAGGGGGTCCACGCAGATTCCCATGGCACTTTTTGTAGGCACAGGTGTGCAGGTCCTCAGCTTCTGGACAGGTTCCAATTTGAGTAATTATGTTCCCTCTCCCTAAGTACCCCCTACTGTTTCTGGTGGATACAGAATTCTTATTCACTTCCTGTACTAAACTGTTGTGTAGAGTTGCTGTGCAGCTGTTAAGCAGCTGCCACGTTCCTCTCCATATATAGTCTCTAAAGCACTTTTGGATGAAAGGCACTATATAAACATATTTTATCGTCACATAGTGGTTGCCTTCCCACTTAGTAGTAGGCTATATAAGGTTCTAACCATCAAATCCAGATCTGTATTCCATAGCACAGGAATGCTTAATTTCTTCCCCTTTTTGCTCCCCAAACCCCTCCAAACAAGGCTCTTACCACAAGGGTCCGTAGACAGAGAGTCCCTGCAGGAGCACGGGGGTCTAAAGCAGCCACAAGATCCCATACTTTAATTTTTCTAAAGATCAAAAGGGGGACAAAAATCTCAGTTTAAAATGAAAATTAAGGGGACACTCGAAGAATGGCAAAAAGTCACAGCAACAAATACTTATGGTGAATGTAATTTATATGATAAATGTAGCTCACAGGAATATAAATACACTTTTTTGTTTTAGAGACTTGGCTGTCACATTCATTCTTGGGAAGAGGTTACTGAACACATTGTTAGTGAAATGACAAAAGAAGTGAAGACAAAAGAGCTACACTTTTAGAAATTACTTAAAGAGATCAAAGTTCAAGATCCAACCATACTAAGCCCCAAAGCCACTGTACTCCAATGTTTCAGTTTTTCGAATAAGTCACTCTTTCATAAGCATATCCTGTTATACTGGGATTGTCCAGTTCTTTGCTTTATAGGTTAAAACAGACAAATATAACCAAATAACCAAAATATTAATGAAAATCGTGAGCAAGCAAGTGCAATCAAACCAGTGCAAAGAACATTTTGGAGGTGAATACAAAGATAAGACATGAGAAATAATGCATCAGATCCTTTCCGTGAAATATAAATTCTTTTAGAGAAGAGGAAGGGCTATATTGAACATCCTAAAGCAAGAATGACTGAGATGTACATTTTCTTTAACTCTTGTTAGCAAACTCACCCATCATAGGCGCCACTGACTATTCTCTTGTTATCAAATCGAATACAGCGCACTAATTCCTCATGGCCTTCTAACACCCGTAAACAAGCACCACATTCTATGTCCCATAATCTGGAAGAGAAAATTGAGTCAAGTGAATTTTTACCAAGACTTACATATTTCTTTTCTAAGCTCAGAAGGTAGTAATAATATACTTCATATCTTAAAAAAAAAAATTACAAAATCAACATCCATACAAAGATGTATTGCTTTCAGTGTAATTTATTTCCTTTCTGCCATATAACTCAGGAAGAAAAAAAGAGTGATTTAAGCTCAAATATAGTATATATTTTCCAAGCACAATGCTTTATATAATTCTGTAACTAGGATCTCTAAGACATAAAAAGGCTGAGTTCAATCCACACAGATGCCTGTGAAAGAAATGACCAAGCCAAGAAAAGTAATGCTTCTTGAAAAAGCCAGTAAGAATGTGATGCGGTGTCAGTGACGTCCTGTCCTCAGCAAAGTACATCCACCTCACTGAGGACACTTTACTCCCTGCCCAGAACAATCTGTCTCATATAATAGAAACACAAAGTTAGTCCTCAAAAACTTAATTTCATACTAATTTAAGAAATTTATGCTTTCTAATCAATCTAAGTGATTTCTAGGAATGAAAATTTCCTTAGAAATAGCTCTATCTTTTTTTAAAAATGGTTTTTTCATCCTTTTTGAAGAGAATTGAAAAATCTTCCAATTCTATTCATATCTGTGTCATTCATCTTTATGAAAATAACAAAAATCACTTTGATTTGTAAGTTCTTCATTAATTTCAATGACTGGGTAGCTCCTTGACCAATGTATGTGATACTAAGAAAACAAAATGCAGGGAGTTAAATTAAAAAATGTTTTTTGAACAGTGGTAGAGAGAAAAGGCCTTTAGCTATTCATTTGCAATTTTCTTTTTTTCTTCTTTTTTTTTTTTAATAGAGGCATGTTTTATTTATTTATTTATTTATTCATTTCTTTGTTTTGTTTATACATGCACTGGGTACAGTCAGAAGCGCGGGAGGGTGAGAGAATTCACCAGAGCCAGAGCGGGGAGCAGAGCAGGCAGAAGGACCAAAGTACACTGCTGAGGGGAGCAGCGGGCGGCAGGAGAGGTCTGCGCGCCATGTGGGACCCTCCTCCGGTGGCTGGGGAGCAGCCGGGGATCGAACCGGTGCTGCAGAGGCTGCGGGCAGCTTCGCAACCCAGCGCTCAACCGCTGCGCCACCGGGGAGGCCCTCATTTGCAATTTTCAACTGTAAACAGGAGAAATTTAAGGAAGAAGGGTCTTCAATCTTATCTATTTATCCATCTTGCTGACTTCCTCATTCAAGTAGTACCTTTAAGTAGGTCTATCTGGTGATAAAATTATTACAGGGAGGAAACACCTCAACAAAAAGCTTTGCTGTGCTGCCTCTGCTTGGGGCAAACTTTTGGCCTTATAAGAAGCTATAGAAAGGAAAAATATAAACATAAGCGAAAGATTTGTTTGATCTATGTGCAAATAATGAATGGCAGGGTAATACTGATCCCTTCTGGGCAAGGCACCTGCTGATCACCTGATAGTGTTGTCAGATGAGCCACTCACGACCAGCCTGTCTCTGTACTGCAAACAGGCGATGCCACGTTTGTGTCCGTTTAAGGTCCTTACAAATTCACAAGTACTTGTGTTCCATACCTGAAACAGAAATCAGCATTTGGCAGGTGATTTAGTGCTGTAAGTAGTAAAATTTATGGCAACTGGAGTCTTGGAAAAACAGAAAACAGGACTGAACTACTAGGGGTAAGTCAAATTCTCAAAACAAACTAAAAATATGAGAAACATTATTCATAATAATAAATGGCTAATTTGTAGCTGGCTGTTATCACATGAGAAGTCCTCAAATTAATTTACTCACATTGGATTAGTCTGGTCTTATAGATATGTTTTTTTGAACATATATCTACTCCTGTCCTCACACTCACCATTATTTATAGGAATAAAACATACAACCAAAATTTTCATACAACCTGTCTCATTCATTATCTTTTTACACAAAGACTAGTATCTGAGTTAATTACTCATTCTACATTGAGGTTTAATATGAAATTGCTCTTGATCAAATTTTCACATGAACTCGCCTACTATAAGGGGGCTTACTGAAAAAATGCCCTTTTACCTTTATAGTTCTATCCCCAGATGCAGAAACGATGTACTTGTCATCAAAGTCTACAACATTGACGGCAGCTCGGTGACCAACCAGTACCCTCCGCAGGGTTATGTCGGTTGGGGAGGCCATATCCCATACAGCAATGGACCGGTCTTTGGAGCAGGTCACCATCATGCCATTATTGAAACGCAAATGCAGAACTGCTTCACAATGGTGTATCAATGTGTTTAGCATTTCACCTGTATTTACATCCCACACCCTGGAACAAACAACATTAGGAAGATTATCTAAAATTTTGGTGGCAATCATGCTATAATTATTACTGCTATGTTCTGCAGTACTCACCCCCACCCCCATTTCATAGTGTTATACCCCACTCTTTATAGCTTTGAGGCTAAGCTGAGGTAAAGAGTACTTACTGATGGGTCATGGGGAAGTGGTAGATAGATGGTTGGGCTGAAGAGTGGGAAAAGGGGACTGGATGCTACTAATATGAAACCCTTAAGACATGCTACTTGAATTGTGGGCAAGTTGTGGGAGGCAAGAATAAGGTAGCAGCTACCAACACCTCCTAATTGCGCCCAGACTTCAAGATTATTAGAAAACATCTGACATTCAATCTGTTATCATTAATGAGGTACATTTAAAACTGGGACTCTAATAACAGCAGTACCAGTGTCCCAGGGATAGCTGCCAAGAACTAGAATGGATATAGGCCAAAAAGCTTCTCTAAGAAAATGACTTGGTATTGTAGACTGGAGCTAGATTTCACCACACAGGTCAAGGTCCTACTTCTGTGCTTTGAGGTGGTAGGGGTCAATGATAGCTATCCCACTGTAAATACAGGTTTTAACACAGAGCATGGGGCTTTTGGATAGCTTGAGAATTTTGTGTGAGGATATACTTTATTTGGGTATTTGCTTTTGGTTTTTATAACACATTCTTTTTCTTTTTCTAGTTTAACCCCCTTTTTTAGAAAGCTATTTTTCCCCTTATCCTATAAAAGATGTTAGCTTCTACAATGTTTCAGCTTCCTTGAGGCACTCCACACACACCAGTAAATGTTAAATGTCGATAACTATAAGAAATGAATTTGCTATGCCTTTAAGTCAAAAGACATGAAACAGGAACTACCTTTTATAATCACAGAAGGATAACTTGAAATGTTAAACATTTGACTTCAGAGAATCTAACAATGCAGTTAACTGTTTTTTTTTTTTTTTTCCTATTTTGTTAAAGTTACTTTTGATGCATTGTGTTTGCTAAATCCTTTAGCTTAAGGCAAAATTCCTAACAGAGGTTTCCAGCAGTGCTGCTGGTGCCCAGAACTCAAACTACACTGGACTCCAGCAGCATAATGGCTGTGTCATCAAATCACTATCGCCTCTGGAAATTGAAGGCCCCTCCCTGAGTGAAGCTTGCAATTAAAAACTGCAGGGACAGCAGGGGAGGGGCTGGCAAAGAGAAAGCACTGCTCACCTGTACACATTTTAAAGGAGATAATGCATACCTGAACTACAGTTATAACCACCATTCCCCTGTGAGATGGTTTTTGTAAGGTATGCAAAGATTTACCAAGTTTCTATTATAGATGATTTGTCCAAATTAAAATAGAATACGTGGTCTCTTAAATGTACAAAAATGTAAACTAGTTCAAAAGATCATCTGAAATTTTCTACCTGACCGTGGAATCCGACGATCCAGTTATGATCACCCTCTCGTCATACTGGAGACACAGGACAGAACCCGTGTGGCCTGTGAGAATTCGCTTGCATTCCAATGTGCTTTTATCCCAGATCTAGGATGGCAAATAAGATCCTTTTGATCACTATGATAATGGGGTGCTGCAGAGACTTGTTGGTTCTATTAAGTGTTTGATTCTCCCAAAGAATCAAAGCCCAGAGTAGTGTGGAATGCATTCTAAGCATCTATGTATATATGTGGCTTTAATACAAATGCAGACCTTATCCTTTTCGTGAAAGAATAGGGACAGGCTATAATTATATGAGGGCCACAAGAGTAGTAGTGCACTTCAAGAAAAGAGTATTTAACCCTAGGACTACTCATGTGTATGTTATGTTTTTGGGCAGGAGGAAGCAGGTATCTGTCCTTTAAGGAATGATTTTGGCTTTGCGACTGGAAATAACCTAAAACTCTTACTTACTGGAAATAATGCTTAGAGTTTATGCTTTGGATTATTTTATGAATGTGGTTACCCTCCCTTGCTCCTTTCACCTTCCCACAACTGAAGAAACCTTACCTTGATTGTGTTGTCTCGAAGACCGCTTACTATCTTCTGGTCATCGTACTGTAAACAGTAAACTCCCTTGCTTGTTTCACTGCGGCAGTGAATTCTCTGTAAACTGTGCCTTCCACATCTCCAATTAGATTCTATTGTCTGAGAAAAAGGAATTGTAAGAGTAATTAGGTAAGGACCAGAACTAAACTCTTATGTGACCTTCACTGGCAACCAAGGACAAATGCTCAATGCTTCATTCTATGGGATACACAGCACTTAGAGCAAAGTGAAAATGCTTTTCAAAATCCACTATTAAAGTTTATAAAAAATTTTCCAAAAAAAATTTTTTTCCCATTTACAAGGTAACTGAAGATTTTCTACTTTTTTGGCTGGAACTGCTATCTTCAGTAAATCACCAAAATGATCAACACAAAGGAAAAGGGGGAGTCCCCACTGTAGGTTCTCTAGGCCTGTTAGAAGGCATGGAGTTGTATCTTCGGCCACATAAGTGGTAATCTACAAGAAAGGTGGTAATGTAGACACTGGGAGGGTGGGCACTATTCAAAAAGGGAAACTTCACACGTCACCGTGGCAAAACTGGTAGAGTCTACAATGTTACCCAGCATGCAGCTAGCATGGTTGTAAACAAAAGGCAAGATTCTTGCCGAGTAAAATTAATGTACGTATACTAGCCACTCTGAAGAGCTGAGCTAGTTTCCTGAAACGTATGAAAGAAAATGATCAGGAGAAAAAAAGGAAGCCAAAGAGAAAGTTATTTGGGTTCAGCTGAAGTAGCAGCCTGCACATTTTGTGAGAACCAATGGGAAGGAGCCTGAGCTGCTGGAACCTATCTCCTATGTATTCATGGCATAACAGGTGTGTGTGTGGGGGGAGGGGAAGACTTTGGACTATTAAAAAAAAAAGATTTTTTAGAATTTTCCTGCATATACCGCATTCAATTAAATAATAAATCTGCTGGAAAGAGACTGCTCATCAACAGAGGGCAAGCTATGAGTCAGGTGACGTTATGTGCTCAGTGCTCTTACTTATGTGGAAGCCAGTTCTGCCTGTGAATTTCCATGGTGACTCAACTCAGAAGATACTCAAGTATCAGTTTATAAATGCAACTTTAACAATCTCACTGCTATTATATGAAGACATCATTCTTCCTCTCTTTCATCTACCTGTCTGTCTGTCTATCTATCTGTAAAACAATTTTCAAGAACTTCAAAATTTTTTCCTGGTTATTTACTAAATTTTACCTACCCTGTTCCCTTGTAAAGAAATTGATTTTTAATCTACATCAATAAGCCTTAATGGGTTTGCTGTAACAATGCAGTTACTGAAGAATGCTGACATTTCTCTAATATTTGGCAAATACCCAAATATACATAGATTCTTACCTCAATGTCTTGTATAATTTTAGGATAAAGTGCTCTATAAAAAGAGTTGGGAGGAGCATTCCCATCAGGAGGTTTGTTTTTGAATAAATACTGTCCCCTAAAAAACAATAAACATTTTCCAATAAAAATCATATTATGACACATTTACAAGGAGCTTCATACTTCAGTGTTTTCAGTTATGTTCCATATCATCTTCATGACCAGTTTGGAGAGGTGTAAAGGTAAGCCCTATTTTAGGAGTCCTGCATTGGGGAAACTTTCCGGGATCTAAGGAACTCAGTCATAATTGATTTACTCTTGGATAAAACATTCTGATTTCTACTGTAGAACATTATTGGATCAAATCTTCAGGAACATTTTAATCTATCAGACCTCTGTTACAGTCTCAGACCTCTGTTACAGTCTCTTTTGAAAACTTTGTTAGTGATAACTCCTACCTTTGATTAAGCACAGGCCACAGCGACTTCCTTGTTCACTGAGTAAAAAGCTGTGCCAGTGTCAGTGGAGACCTGCATCGTGGACAGCAGTAGTGCTTCAGTCATGGAGACCACTTTTTCTAGTCTTCACTTACATGGGGTAAGGTGTATTGTGACTCACCAGGCTGCTGGTGATCAGTGTAGCTAGGCTATAAAAGGAGCAATTCAGTTCTTTTCTACAGAAAACAAAGGGATTATAAGAGTATCTAGCAGAAGGTATGGAAGATGATGTAAAGAAATGCCTAAGAGCACTGAGCTGCCAAGTCTAAAGCATGAAACTGGCTTTCACAGGTGTGTTCCTGGCTACGTACATACAAACATGCATTTTATTGGCTTTCCTTGACTCCAGTGAGCAACATTTGTCAGCATCTCCTTCCTCATGACAGCACATATCTGGAATACTCATATCCCAAGCTAGATCTTTGCTACCAAAAAAAATCAGTAAGTGGCAATCACTTCCTGCTGGGTAAAAAATTTAATTCCTCATCCTGAAGTTAAGAATCCACCAAACACGGTGTGGAAGCTAGTAAACCCCACTATGGGTGTACTAACTGCTGTTCTCACTGGCACTGTGCCTTGCAAAGTGGAGATAGACAGAAATGCCTCTGAGTGTAATCCTGGCACCAGAGAAATCATGTTTTCTCTGGGCCAGTCATCCACTCCTCCCTCTATAGCTCCATTACACTATAATTAATTGTTCAATGTCTCCAGGAGCGCTTCTCCCCTGCCCTCTTCCTATTATACACCTTGAAAATTAGTTGAGAAAATTTCCTATCAGGAAGGTAGCTGGCTGTGATTTCTGTGTTAACACAGATAGGGATATCTGCAATGGAGAAGCTAAATAAGAGTTTTTAAAAAGGGACTAATAGGAGCAAGAAACATCATATACTCATATAAAGAAAGTGTGCAAAAAAAAAAAAAAAAAAAAAAAAAAAAAGAAAGTGTGCAAACAACACAGTATGAAAAAATTCTGACTTAAAGGTATACTTTTCTAAACCATCTTGTTTTATAAACACATTGCAGGCAAACAATAGATTCTGAATGAAGGAATTCTAAATCTGGTAAATAATTATGATTTAATAATTTCAACTCCAACATTTTTTGATGAGGCAGGAATCACTGTATTCATTTTGCAGATAAATCAAATGTCAGAGGGGTTAAGTTCCTTGCCCAAGGTCAGAAAGCTAATAAGTAGATCCAGGATTGGAATTTAAGTCACACGTCTGAGGCTGTAATCTTTACTGTTGTCTCTCAGTACCCAACATTCCTTAGAAATTATGGTCCTTTTAATCTTAATCTCTAGCAATTGAACACAGGTACCCCAGGATTTTTTTCACATGCAATAAAACTATCTCTATATCACATGTAAAGAGAAATCACATAAACCTGATAGCATTTTCCATTCCATTGTATTTATCATGCTTTCCTATAAAGATCTGAATTCCTTCAAAATCAAAGCAGCTCCCAGAAAAGGGTAGCTAGCTGTTAAAAACTGGTTTCTTAGTCTATGTCTGTATTGTAAAGCCAAAACCTTTTATGCTGGAAGCTCTTTGACAACAGGGACCACTTCTATGTGAAATGTCTAGTACCTTTGAGAGTATGAGTACATGATAAATGCTAAACATTAAATTCAGAATGTTATCATAAAATGTGATCTGCTGATTAAGAAAATGGACTTTTCCCAAGTGATCTTTTATTATACTTTAAAGAGTTACCATTACTGAACAGAGAATACATTTAGTATTGGGCCTCCCTGGTGGCGCAAGGGTTAAGACGCAACCTATGAAGCTATCTGCAGCCACTGCAGCACGAGTTCAATTCCTGGCCAGCTAGGGAGCAACCCACATGGCGCAGCAGACCTCTCCTGACTTGCATGCTGAGCCCCTCAGCAGTGTACTTTGGTCAATTTGCCTGTTCTGTTCCCCACTCTGTCTCTGATGAATCCTCTCACCCCCGCCCCACACCTCTGGCCTGTACCCCAGATCTTGTATGCATAAATAAATAAATCTTAAAAAAAAAATACATTTAGTATTATTCAAGAGAAAATGACAGAGTTCATATCCTAGGGGCAGACTGTCAAATTCATCTCGATATAAACTACAACAGCAAAGTAGAAGCTATTAAACCCAAATGTTTTATTAGAAACTATATTTACTTATTTATTTTTGGTTGGAGGAAAATTTTGGTTTGGTTTCATCGTAGGTTTGGCGAGACACTTGAAAGAAAGTGAGAAACTGGTCATAGATTAATTTTTTGTTTTTTAAAGTTGGGGAAGCCAACAAACAGGAAGAAAGGACTCAGGTAAAAATGGAAGCAGAGGGAGGGGTGTGGAAAACAAAAAATAGAAACAGCCACAGAAAGTCAAGGGGATACTGAAGGTCTTCACAGGATAGACAAATAATTGTTAATTTCATGGGGCTATATGAAAGTAAGGTGATAAATATGGCTAAAGGCAAAGGAATATAATTAGAACGCTGAAGGATACTCAATGGAGCAGGTGTGGGTTTCTGTGATGAAGAAGACAATACTGAATTCTGAATTATTCCTCAGTTGTACCTTCACATACCTTTTTAAAGGGTTCAAAAGTTAGCTTTTCAATGAACTGACAGGTCCTCTCCCCTTTAACTAACTTAACAGATCTAGATTTACCGCCAACCCTAAGCAAAATTAGAGAGCCTACGTTTATCGTTAGCATTTTCACACACATTTGGCAGGATCTGCCCTTCTACTTCTTGTTCTTCCTGCCTTGAAAAAGGACTGTAATCTCCCTATGTCTGAGAAAGTTTACTGTCATTTATAGTCCAAATGGGAACAAAGTGTGTTTTAACAGGAAACAAAACCTTTATAGCTATGGGAATGATGCTCTGTAAGTGAAATTCCAGGTGAGGAGTTCTTTGGAGGACAGTTTCTTTTCTTTTTTTTCTCTCCGTCACCCCCCACCCCCCAGAGGATTATTCATAGCTGCCCTAAAATTTTCCCATGTAAGCAATGCCTGATCTTTTTTTTTTTTTAAGATTTATTTATTTATGCATACAAGAGCTGGGGTACAGGCCAGAGATGCAGAGGGAGAGGGGGAGAGGATTCACCAGAGACAAAGCCAGGAGCAGAACAGGCAGACAGACTGAAATACACTGTTGAGGGGAGCAGCGGGCGAGACAGGAGAGGTCTGCTGCGCCATGTGGATAGAACTCATGTTGCAGAAGCTGTTGACTGCTTCAAAGTGTGGTGCTTAACCCCTTGCACCACCAGGGAGGCTCTGCCTGATCTATTCCTAAAGTTGGTCCTGACACTTAGCAAAATGGTAGATTTTGAATGTTGTACAACTATATACTTACTTGTTTTTGAATTTATTTCCAAAGTATGAAACACGCTAAAGATAAGATTTCTGTTTTTCACACACAGTGGAGTAAGTGAGAATAAGAAAATATTTGGGAAATACAGATATTCTTTGACTTCTACAAAAAAATTTTAAACAATTTTTATGTAGTCAAAGAATTGCCTGGCATTTGTTTCCTTTAATTGAACTTGTGAGAAAAAAATTAAAAATTCTTCCTAATATACAGAATGACAGAAATCTCCTGGTAGAATATTAGTGGTTGTAATGTTTATTATGTATTAATGAATTTCAAAGATGCAAAAAAGGGAAACTACTGCATTTTTATGAAAATTGCTAAGAAAAGATGATCCTTCATTCTTAACTGTTTTACATTTCTTTATGATCCAAGATTAACAATTCATAAAATTAACTGCTCAGGTTATCACTGAGCATATACACACCTGCTGGGACATACCTACCAACTAAAGTACTTAATATGCCTCTGTTATTTGATTTCTGAAATATTTAGACCTAGCTTTCTTAGAGCGACATGTTAGAGACATCTTCAGAGAGAAAATTATATATGGGAGGCATCTTCCAGACTTTTTTTTTAAAAGATTTATTTATTTACACAAGCACTGGGTACAGTCAGAAGTGCAGGAGGGTGAGAGAATTCACCAGAGCCAGAGCGGAGAGCAGAACAGGCAGACTGATGAAATACACTGCTGAGGGGAGCAGCGGGTGGCAGGAGAAGTCTGCGTGCCATGTGGGACCCTCGCCCGGCGGCTGGGGATCAAACCGTTGCTGCAGAGGCTGCGGGCAGCTTCGCAACCCAGTGCTCAACCACTGCACCACCGGGAAGGCCCTTTCTAGACGTTTTAATGAAATGTTACAAGAACATCAGCGATATTTTTTAGACAGCTAACTACACAATGCCTTAAAGGAATCAGGATTATGCAGCAAAATCTCAAGAAAGGATAAGAATCTTAAGAAGAAACAATGATTTAATGTTAATAAATCATTAACAATGATTTATCATAGTTTCTGATAAGCTAGCGTTCTTATTCTAGTTGGGCATAAAAATAATTTTTGAATACAAAGGTGATAAAACAGTACAGGCATGGGTTAAAAGCAAGAAATCTTCAGCAAGCCTTCCTAGTGGTGCAGGTGGTTGAGCACCACACTGTGAAGCTGTCTGCAGCCTCTGCAGTGCGGGTTTGATCCTGGCCGGCCGGCGAGAATCCCACATGGCGTGACAGACCTCTCCTGCCTCGCCCACTGCTCCCCTCAGCAGTGTATTTCGTCAGTCTGCCTGTTCTGTTCCCCGCTCTGTCTCTGGTGAATCCTCTCACCCTCCTGTGCATCTGACCTGTACCCCTGTTCTTGTATAAAAATAAATAAATCTTAAAAAAAAAAAAAGAAAAAGAAATAAATCTTCAGCAAAATAATTTTTGTTTTAGGGGAAAGTTGGATCTGATGGCTTCTGTGTGATATAGTCATCTACTGTTCTTATAAGTTGCCCCTTTTCAGGATACCAATTTCTACTCAGAGAATGCAGAGAACAGAATGCTTTCAATAGGAGGGCTGACTAGTTTTCCATTATTTTTTTTTCAAAGCAGTATAACACATTGTTATATCATATAATAGTGGTCAGAAGAAAAGTACATGAACAAGTATTTTTACATTTTCTTGTTATAAACCAGCAAAATCACTGTATTAAATAAATGGTTTTACAATTGGTTTATACAATATTCCAAAAACTTTGCGTAGCCAGATCCTGAAGCTCTAATGAAAGAAAGTTAAAAGGCTCACCACCCTCTTCGTTCTGCCAGGCCTCTCCATAGAGAATCTGTCCTGACCATTCTCTCGATGAGCTTCTTCCATAACATGCCATCAGATGTTACTCGGTACCACTCCTTACACACAAGTTCAGCAGCACATAATGATTTGGCATCCAGGTATGACAGAATGTTTTCAGCAATGTGATCCAAACCCCGAGCTTTTGGTGAGGGGAGGAGGCAAAGAAAAAGAACAAAGGTGGTGGTGGTGAATGATTTTTTTTTTTTTAACAAAAGATCCTTTAAAACAAAACAGCATTTATTCTGCTATGAAGGCACATCCCTGTCCCTAGTGTGGTCCAGTTTCTTTTTCAAACAGAGATGGGTAAAATGAGTGTCAATAATTTTTCCATAAGATTACAGAAATGAACAGTATTTTCCATCTTCCTTTAGATAAGGAAGTTAAAGCTAACAACCAGCAAACCCCCAAGACATTAAAAATAAAAAGGAATCCAGAAAACAATTCACATCTATCTATATGGATTTCAGCACTAGGGGATGTTCTATGGATGGCATCTCAAACTCTGTGATTCAGACCCCCCCAAATCTCTATATTAGGTCCATTTCTCATTCTGTTTCTATTACTGCTGCAATTCCAAAGCTGTTCAGTAAAAGAAATATCCTTTAAATGTACTCGGGGAGAGGCACTAAGTCAGAATGTGCTGGGTTATAGAATTTTGGGCATGCAGAAAGGAGAGAAAGAAATACAAATTGGTACAGGAACATCCCAAGAGGAATGACAGAGAGGTATGTTTAAGTTCAAGGAAGAGTTTAATTTCAAGGAGTTAAAAAAAAAAAAAACCAAAACAACCAACCCTATATTTGAGAATAGCTGTTGCTATAAAACCTAAATGACAGTTGACCAAAGTCAAAAAAATATCAGACCAACAGTCACTTGGCTAGAATTTCAGAAACTATTTTGTAGGATGTACAGAGGTAAAACAGTGAAATAGTTCCTGTGCTGTGCAAACCAGATTGAGTTTCCTGGTCAATATTCTCTATCACCCAAATTTGTATTAAGGCCTCAGAGGAATAGATCCTATAAAATAGGATGATGGCACTAGTAAACCCTTTTGCTGCTGTTCTAATTCACAAGTGAGACAAAAAACATTCAAAGTTATTTCTCTTTACAGGTTACATATCAGAGTTTTGCTACAGATTTAAATAGTGCAGAGTATTCCTTTACTCTAACTCCCTTAGGCACAAACTTAACAAATAGGAAAGAGAATAGCAAATTTCATTTTGTGCCTTTCCTCTGAATCATATAAGGACACACTTGGACGCCATTAGCAACAATCCAAATGTGCTTAAACATTATTCTAATTATAAAGATTGTATGAATATCAGTCACATTTCTCAGCAGATTTGGGAAAAAATGCATTAAATGAATCTTGTTTGGCTGGCATCACATGTTGATATTAAAGCATAAGCAGATGGAGGCATCCATCACCTAATTCTTAGTAAAAGAACATAACTTTTAAACCAATTAAAGATATAATAATTAGCTCTTCATGCAAAAAGCAATGATGGTACAATTTCTACATCTTTATATTAAAACTTCCCATACCATCAGAAGTTTCCAAAGTGCATTCCTGTGTTTTTAATGGTTGCCATCAAATTGCTACTGATCTTTCACTATGTCCCTATAATAAGTCTTTGGAAGTAATTTCACCTAACACTCCAAACAAACCCATTACATTAATGGATTACAGGCACTTTTTGAAGTAGTTTGGTTTACTAAATGTAGCCAGATGGTGTAGGTTTTTAAGTTAAAATGGCCATAAAGCATTAAACTGATGATTTAATACCTTATAAAGTGGCCAGCAGATACACACGAGGGATGAGTATTAGGCAAAGGATACACCAGGTCTAATAGGCTCCTGTTCAATTCTTAGTGGTGTTTGCTTGAGATAGTAGCATGTCTTGTGATTGGGGAGAACACGGTAATGAGATATACACAGATTGTTTGCACAAAGAAAACTATTTGCCTATGGCTAAAACAAAATCCAATGAGTAAAGAGGGGGTAGAATCTATTTAACAAAAGATATAGGTACAAACTCAGCTTAAAAATGGTTATTTCGAGCCTCCCCTGGTGGCGCAGGCAGTTGAGCGCAGCACTGTGAAGCTGTCCGCAGTCTCTACAGCGCTGGTTCAGTCCTGGCCAGCCGGCGGGGGTCCCACATGGTGTGGCAGACCTCTCCTGACTCGCCCGCTGCTCCCCTCAGCAGTGTGTTTTGGTCAGTCTGCCTGTTCTATTCCCCACTCTGTCTCTGGTGAATCCTCTCACCCTCCCACGAATCTGGCCTGTACCCCAGTTCTTGTGTAAATAAAAAAAAATCTTTATAAAAAAAAAGTTATTTCTAAGATATAAATAGGCATTCTTTTGTTTTAAAGGGCAATTTAAGTTCCAAGTTTGGAAAATGAATTTTAAAAAAAGATATCACTGGCAAAGATTAAGTAAAGTAGGACAGTGCAGTTCTGGGGGAGGGCATAAGTAATGTTTTTCCTAGGATAGTTGGTGCATGTACTAAAAGCCTTAAAAATGTTCTTAATTTTTTTAATGTAACCACCCCATATCTGGTATTTTTTTTCCTAGAATGCCCAAAAGATCAATTATAGTATTGTAGTTTATAATAGAAAAAATTTTTTTTCAAACTGCCTAAATGTTCCATAAAGGGGTTAAAACTGTTGTAAAGAATATATAACACTATAAAAAATTATGTTGTAAAAGAGCACTTAGAAAAACACATTCAGAGAATAAAACAAGAAAAAATGTTACAAATCCTTTTGATCACAGCTTTAGAGGGAAATATGCACACCGAGGAAAAAATTGGAAGACTATATGCCAAAATACAATAGCACATTAGTAGTTTCCCCTGAATTGTGGGGTTCTGGGAATTTTTATAATGTTTCCTCCTAAATTTCCAATAACCAGGAAAAAAAAGCCGAAAAAAAACCCCAGGATATATATTAGATGAGATTCATGCATCGCTGTACTACTTTTATCTTTTTAAATAAGCTTTTAACATATATGAGAGAACCTTATATTTTTCTGATAGCAATTTCCCTAAATATTAATGCCTATGTAGTGTCCTAGATTGTCACATCAAGCATTTAGTAAACAACACCCTCCAAATAAAAGGATTAAGTCAGTATGTGTGTGTATGTATTTAAGTGTAATTATGTATATATTTTAAGTGGCCATATACTTATTTAAATGTGGAGACACACACACACATACACACACACACACAGAGTTTACAATAGCTAGTTGGTAACTGAGCACAGTTAGATTGTAAAGCCAGGGATTTACATATTTAATGTCATAAAAAGGCTGCTGAATTACTCTTCTTTCAAAATACTTAATTAAACATGCTTCTTATTCATTCCTATAACCTAGTCTGTTGCTAAATGTCCACAGAAAACCAAATCTAAGTAGGTAAGTTAACATACCTTGAAACTAAGATATGTTGTAAATTACACACATTAAATTAGGTAACACCTCAGAAAAGATTTTACTTGGATTTATGTGTAGGTAAAAAATAGGGTGAATAGGAGGGCATGAAATAGGGAGAAGACAGGAAAAAGGATCTCCTTTAATAACTCAAGTTAGACTTTTTTGTATTTATACCCTAAAAAGGTGTGATTCAAGGACCCAGTTTTGAAAAAAATCAAGTCAATCAGAATAAGGACTTATAAAAGACATGTCTAGCTGAGAGCCGGTACCATTACCATTGTCAGATAGCTTCCAGGCAAATTAATGCCTTACAAACACCCACAGACATACCTGGCAGAGCAGTTATGAAATCCCTCTGCAACATAGGCTTAAGATAGGAGTTTATGTGTCCATGTTGGTAATGACACATTTGGGATATAAGGTGTTCCACAAATTCCACTTGATCAGACTCTGACCACTGCTCAAAATATTTGACACACAGTTCTTTTTCCTTTTCATAGCTTGCTGAGAGTTTCCGTTGCTTGGGCACAATCATACTGGAAGTGCCATTGGCAAGTTTTGTCTGTAGAAGGAATAGATTAAAAGAAATATATAACAGTAAGTACTGAAAATGAAGGAAATATAATTTTTTGGTGTGGCATTTTTTTATGTCTATATGATAGAGCTCACTCTGTTATTCTATTAGTAACTGTGAATAACAATTACTGAAAAGTCACAATAAATAAATAAATAACACAGTAAGCTGGTAAATCAGGAATATTTAAGGACAACTAAGCATTCATTTCCCAAGGTTCACAGGAGGACATTATCTGGAAATACACAGGTGAAAACCAAAAGCTGAAAGCAGGTAAATTATTAATCAAGAAAATTAATTTGTTTTTTCTTGAATTCACCAGTTACTGGACATTTATACAATTACTCACAATTTATTTTTAATAGTCAAGTAAGAAATCTTCCAAGCAAAGAAAGGTCAATGAATAATTTGTGATTCTGCTACCTTTGGAGATAAACTTTACATCGTTATTTATATACTCAATCTACCTTTACCTTCTTAAAAAAACTCATCCCTATTATCAAATTTACAAGGATTAAAGTTCTTTTTATTAATTGTTAATTCAATAAATGTTAATTATGCCAAACACTGTCCTAGGTGCTAGGGATACAACCTTAAACAACACAATCTCTATTTAATCAGGAACTCATATTTTAATATGTGCAAGTTAAAAAATTAACCAAGTACGTAGCAAATAAAATGTAGATGATGTTACAAAGAAATATAAAGCAGGATAAGGGAAGAGGGGAAAAGTATGTTTCTGTAGTAGGCAAAATCCTAGATGGTCCCCCAGGTTTCTTGACAACTGTACACACACATCTTTGTTGTTCAAACAAACACTGGAGTAGTGCTGCTGTGATTTAAGGCTGAGATAAGGTTCTCAAATCAACTGATGTTAAGATAGGGAGATTACTCTAGTGGGCCTGAAGTAGTCAACTGAGTCCTTTGAAAAGCAGGGAGTTTTCTCTAACTGGTTGCAGAAGAGGAAGGGGGCCATGTGTTAAGAAACATGGACTGCCTGCCTCTAGGAGCAGAGACCTCAGCCTCACAATGCAAGGAACTAAATTCTCCCAAAACTAACAATGAACTGAGAAGAGAGTTTTCCCCCAGAGCCCACATGCAAATTGAAAACTCAGCCCAGGGAACACCCTGATTTTAGCAGTGTGATACTGTGAGCACAGGTCCTAGCCAAGCTGTGCCGGACTTCCAATCTACAGAACTGTGAGCTAATGAACAGGTGTAATTTTAACCTGCAAAATTTGGGATAGTTTATTATTCAGGGAAAAAAATCCCACAGACATAGCATCCTTGAACAGCCACATTTGAACTGAGACATTAAGGAAATGAGGGAATTAGACATTTTGTTACATGGCAGAAGAATGATCTAGGCAACGGAAATTTTGAGAGCAAAGGTTCTGGGTGGAAGCCTGTCTGGCACACTCAAGGAACAACAAGAGGGGCCAGTGTGGCTGGAACCAAATGAGCAAGGGAAGATAAAGTTAGACTAGTTGTCCAAGCCAGGCCATCCAGGTCATTTAGGGGGTGGCAGCTCATCTCCAAAAATGGCCCTAAACAATTCCATCTCTAACTGAATGCAAATGCTGTTCCTCCCATCAAGAGGTAGAATTTATATTCTAGCCTTTCAGTCTGGGCTTTGATTAATAGCATGTGGAAAAAGTAACAATCTGGGACTTTTGAGCTCAGGCAGCTTACGCTTACTACTTCTTAGAGTGGTGAGCTACCATGAAAGAAATTCAGGTAACCTTAGTGAAGAGGGAAATCCAGAGAATGAGAGGCTATGCAGAGAGAGACAGTTCACACGGGGAAGCGCCTAGAAGCATGAGAGTGATATGATCTGACACACTACTGTGTGGAGAATAGACTGCAGGGGACATGGATGGAAATAAGAAGACTAAGAATCTATTTCATAGTATCCATGGAAGAGACAACCACCTTTCACACTAGAGTGATACTGGAGAGGTGGTGAAAATAATTAGGATTCAATGCAATAACCGAGATTTTAATCTTATAAAATTTGAGGGAGGAGTCAACAAAATTTGCTTTAACAATAGATACAACAGCATACCCAAATCTGAAGCTAGGAAATACAAGGAGAAGATTCAGAAATTAGGTGAAACTCTGAAGTTGATTTTCTTTGAGGCTAACCAGAGTCATACAGCAGGATACTTTTTTTTTAAGGATTTATTTATTTATTTATACAAGAATCGGGGTACAGGCCAGATGCGCGGGAGGGTGAGAGGATTTACCAGAGACAAAGCAGGGAGCAGAACAGGCAGACTGATGCTCCACTGCTGAGGGGAGCAGCGGGCACAACAGGAGAGGTCTGCTGCGCCATGTGGGACCCTCGCCGGTAGGCCAGGATCGAACCTGCGCTGTAGAGGCTTTGGACAGCTTCACAGCGTGGCGCTCAACTGCCTGTGCCACCAGGGGAGGCCCCAGCAGGATACTTTTTTTTTTAAAATAAATTTTATTTTTATATTCCCCATACAATTGCATCCCCCTTATTTTGACCCCAATCCCTCCCCTCCCCGCCCCGACTCCCCATAGAGTGTCTCTGGTTCATATTTTTTTGTTGATTTTGATTTTCACTTTCTTATAGTTATTCATTTTCCTGGTCCCTTATTTAAGTTTTCTAGATTCCTGCTATGAGTGAGACCATCCGGTATTTTTCTTTTTCTTTCTGGCTTATTTCGCTGAGCATCGTCCCTTCCAGCGCCATCCATGTTGCTGCAAATTGCATGAGTTTATCTTTTTTGATTGCTGAGTAATATTCCATGGTGTATATGTACCACATCTTCTTGATCCAGTCATCTATTTTTGGGCATTTGGGTTGTTTCCAAAGCTTAGCTATTGTAAACAGTGCTCACAGCAGGATACTTTTTAAAGTTATGTGATGCATTGTCCACATATTTGCTTGAGGCCATTTCAATTTGGTGGGGTGACCCAAGTTATCATAGTGTTCATACCTGCTTAGACATATTGAATGTGCCATAAAATTCTCAACTTTGGATAATCATATCTTGCTATTTAAGGTACAGGCTTATATTAGTTTCTAAGAGTTAAATCCTACATGCAGGCCTCTTTACAAATGATTCTGATTCACAACTGTAAATTTTCATAAATGGCATTAACCATTCAAATTATGTTGAAAAAGCTGACACCCTTGTCAACTGCAAGCCCTAGTGTACAGAGTTGGATGTTTTCTAGCATAAATGCCCTTGTTGTCTATGTACAGACCAAAATGATTAATAAGAACCTTGTTGGACACAGGCCTTGGGGAACTTCAGTGTTGCTGTTTGTCTAGGTTGTTTCTAGCTCAGAAAAGGAAAACTTGCAAAACATAGAGTAAGATTTAATGAGCTAACAAATAGGTGGATTTACAAGCTTGACCAAAATGCTACTACCCATCCCCACAACCAAGACCTCTCATTTCATCATCTTTTAGATATTTGTCTTTTTTTTTTAATGGACTTTTTTTTTTTTTTAAAGATTTGTTTTTATTTATTTATACAAGCACTGGGTAACAGTCAGAAGCGCGGGAGGGTGAGAGAATCCACCAGAGCCAGAGCGGGGAGCAGAGCAAGCAGAAGGACCAAAGTACACTGCTGAGGGGAGCAGCGGGCGGCAGGAGAGGTCTGCGCACCATGTGGGACCCTCCTCTGGTGGCCGGGGAGCAGCCGGGGATCGAACTGGCGCTGAAGAGGCTACTGGCAGCTTTACAACCCAGCGATCAACCGCTGCGCCACTGGGGAGGCCCTTTTTTTTTTTTTTTAAGCTTTATTTTATTTATACAAGAACCAGGGTACAGGCAGATGCGTGGGAGGGTGAGCGGATTCACCATCAAGAGAGCAGGGAACAAAACAGGCAGACCGACTGAAATACACTGCTGTGGGGAGCAGTGAGCAAGACAGGAGAGGTCTGCTTGGCCATATGGGTTGCTCCGAGGCCGGCGGGGATTGAACCGGCACTGCAGAGGCTGCAGACAGCTTCACAGCATTGCGCTCAACGATCTGTACCACCAGGGAGGCCCATATATTTGTCTTTCAAAAGGTAGAAATGGACCAAAGATGGGTGCTACACAGAATATTGTTTTCTGACTAAAGACCAGAAATTGCAGTAACAGGACAATAATTGGCCATTTGATGCAATCACTCTATTTATAATTTAAACAAACCTGGTGTATCTATAATCATGGGGGGTCATGCTTTGATCAGTGGCTATTAATAGAAAAAAATAACAAAGGATTTTACAAGTTTGGTTATTTTACTGCAGGAGCTAACAATGAGTCAAGACTTTCTTATACTTTCAATGGACAAATCATAAATGGTACCTAAAACACTATTAGAAGAGAAGTATATAGCACTGTGCCTGGCAGCCACCCATCTAAAATTTTGCCTCCACCATGGCCTCCACTTCAGAGCCTGCCTGTATCTACTCAGCCCTCACCTTGCAGAATGATGAGGTGCCAATCACGGAGGATAAGATCAATGCCCTGGGCCTCCCTGGTGGCACAAGGGGTTAAGCACAGCACTGTGAAGCTATCCACAGCCTCTGAGGCACAAGTTCGATCCCTGGAGGGCCAGAGAGCTACCCACATGGCACAGCAGATCTCTCCTGTCTCACCCACTGCTCCCTTCAGCAGTGTATTTCAGTCAGTCTGCCTGTTCTGCTCCCCATTCTGTCTCTGGTGAGTCCTCTCGCCCCCTAAACCTCTGCCCTGTATCCCAGCTCTTGTATACATAAATAAAATCTTAAGGGAGTGATGTAAACATTGAACCTTTCTAGTCTGGCTTGTTTTCAAAGGTCCTGGCCAATGTCAACATCAGAGGTCTCATCTGTAACACAGGGCTGGTAGACCTGTCCTGCAGATGGTCCCGCGGCAGCAGGAGATCCTATCCCCTCTACCATGGCTGCTCTAGCTGAGAAGAAAATGGAGGCAAAGAAAGACATTCGAGGAATATGATGATGATGTGGGCTTTGGTCTTTTT